ATTTAGCAAAAGTAAGAGTTGGGCAGCCTTGAGTTCAGTTTCTAAAGACCTAAAGGGAGATCTCCAACCAGTTGGATAGATCTTTTGTAATGAATTTTGGGGGAGATCTGGATCACAGTTACAACTGGAGGGGAAGGTATGCATGGGTTGCAACTTTTGCAGTACTGGAGGAAATACCATTGTTGATTTGGTTTGGGGTACATGGAAATATTGAAGCATGAGTATTTTTTTTTACCACCCTATATCTTGAACATCCTTTGAGGTTGCCTGAAAAATTAGTTCTCACATGGTGTTAATTATTAACATGAGTATAAGTAAATTGGATAGTGGTATTTAGTCATAATAGTTCAATACTTCAGAAGATACTGTGATTTCATCAGTTTGGGTATTTCTTTCACCAATGTAGATTACATGACTTAGTAAATGGCTTCATGACTTGCTAGGGTAAAAAAAAAAAAAGTCATCACTTGCTGGACAGTCTTCTGGTGACAAGCTTCTTTGAATTTAGCTAAGAAAACCCTTATAGGGGAGACTCAAATTTATCACCAGACTCCTACTAAAAACCTTTCTAGGTAGGCCTTGGCGGAGCTTTTCCTCTAATGCCATACTGGATTATGTTTTTTTGTTTTGTTTTGTTTTCTGTTTTTTTTTTGTTTTTTTGTTTTTTTTGCTAGGCAATGGGGTGAAGTGACTTGCCCAGGGTCACACAACTAGTGAGTGTTATGTGTCTGAGGCTGGATTTGAACTCAGGTCCTCCTGACTCCAAGGCCAGTGTTCTATCTACTGCGCCACCTACCTGCCGCCTGGATTATGTTTTTGTTTTTGTTTTGTTTTGATGTATTTTTGTCTGGGCCTGTGGCTTCCTCAGTGTAGGCAGCTCTCTAGATGGGAACTCCCTTTACCGTTGCAGATTAACAATTTGCCTATCACTTAGAGTCTTGTGGGGCAGTTAGATGGTACAGTGGATAGAGTGCCAGGCCTCTAGAGTCAGGAAGACTCATCTTTCATAGTTCAAATCTGGTCTCAGACACTTACTAGCTATGTGACCCTGGGCAACTCACTTAACCCTGTTAGCCTCAGTTTCCTCATCTCTAGAATGAGCTTGAGAAGGAAATGGCAAACCACTCCAGTCTCTTTGCCAAGAAAACCCTAAATGGGGTCATGAAGAGTTGAACATGACTGAAAAACAACTGAACAATGTAGTCTTAGAGAATTTATTGTTGTTTTTTATTTGTCCTTCATTCTTGAAGAGGACCGTGCCATCAGGGAGGTGATGCCATAACATGCAAATGAATTGGATTTGAATGAGGGAGGGGCTATGCAAAGTCACCAGCTTCACTTTCTTCTCCAGAGCCATCTGGGTCCAGTGGCAAGATGTAGATCAGGATGACTGGAGATGGCCGTGGATGCAGTGGGGGATCTTGGCCTTTTTAAGCTAAGGTCTTTAACGGGTCTCAGTTTGACCTGTGAAAACACTGTTAAAGCACTGAAAGATTACATGATTTGTCTTTGGTCAAACATAGTTTGTCAGTCATGGCTATTTTGTGTCAAAGGCAGGACTTGAGTTCAAATCTTCTTGTCTCCTAAAATCTCATTCCACTTTGCCATGATGCCTCTAGCCTTGTAGTACCTAAGATCAGTTCTATTGTATGAAATCAGACAAGGATTTTAGCGGAGGATTTGGGTTCTCATCACTGTGATATTATTAGCTAGTGTTTAGGTGGTTGTTCTTGGGCTAGTAGACTCAAGCTGGTTGAGTGTACCATGCTAATACTGAAGTTTCTGGTTCCCATATGGACTGTTTAACCTGGCTCATACACTTAGCTACATATAGGTACCTCAATAACGTACGTCCTTAGTCACAAGGTGGGGCGGGACAACGGTGAGTCATCTGCGCTTCTAGAACAACTTAAAGTGCGTTTCCTACTGAGGATGGATTAATAAGGTTACCAAGCATATGAAACTCCTGTTACGTTATTGTTAATGTCAGTTCTCTTTATAGCTGTATTATTTAATGTTGAGGTTATTGTATTATTGTCAATATTTTGGTTATGTAATTGGATTTAAGGAAATTAATGGCTAGCATTTGCATTATTTAGGGTTGATTAATATCATAGACTATGGAATGTTAGAATTGGCAGGAACCAGAAACATCATCTAGTCCAGGGGTGGGGAATTTGTGACTTTGGTGCCACGGCTTCCCCACCCCTGGTCTAGTTCAATCCCCTCATTCCTCAGGTGAGAGAGCTGAGCCTATGCCAATGTTGTTGAGTCCTGTTCCAGATCATGGCCAAAGTCAAATGTTGTTTGTTTGTTTTCATTTCGATATATGCATTTCCTGACTCTGAAACACTGCGGGGCAGAGATTCTTAATCTTTTTTAGAGTCATGAACTCTTTTGGTCATCTGGTGAAGTTTTATGGAACCCTTCTCAGAAGATTTTTAGATAAATAGCATTATAAAGGAAACCAATTATATTGAAATACAGTTATGAATATTTTAAAAACAAGTTTGTGAGGTGCAAGTTAAGAAGTTCTATTATAGGAACATCTAAAACCCGTTAATACTTTGAGGGTCTTTGGTCCAGCCCTATGATTTCAGTGTAGGAATTTCTCATCTCTGTAGATCGGCAGCTCCTCGATGACTCGAAGTCTTTAAACGGTTGCCTGGAACAGTGAGAGGTTAAGTCCAGGGTCACAAAGAGAGTATTGTTAGAGGTGAGGCTTAAACCCAGGTCCTCTTCATCTACTACTCCATGCTACCTCATGTTTCCAGGGCATGTTGTAAAAATAATTAATACATTTTTGATCAATTATATGTATTCCTGCAAGTTTCAACTCAACCTTGTTGATAGGCAGCATCATTAGAATTTTATTTCCACTGCTCAGTTTGTTCAATGGCACCATTTCTGACAGACAGGGATAAACAGCATATTCTAAGACAAGTTACTCCTAAGTATGGACAGAGGAGAGAGTGCTGCATTTGGAATCAGGGCGGCTCCTTGAAAATTCTAGTCCTGCCCCACCTACTGTCTCTATGACCTTGGACAAGTCACTTAGCCTTCTCTGGGGTCTAGGTTCCTCATCTGTAAAATGAGGGGGCTAAGATAGATAGCCTCTGAGGTCTCTTCCAGCCGTAAATTGAAGATTCTGTGATTCTCCCTTTTACCTGAAATGGGAACTTCCTTTGTGAATGTATTTATCTCAGCAGAACTAAATTAGAAAGCTTCCAGAAGATAAGAGCACGAGTCTTCTGGGTTCAGGGTACAGTTATCTTTATGTTTTGAAAAGTGCTGCCAACAAATAAATAATGATGAATGCTGACCTCAGAAATGACCTTGGTGCTTGATTTCTTGAAAAGCCCTGATACTTGTTATGTTTTGTTCTTTTGACCCTTTCTCAGAAAGAAAAGAGTGAATGATCTCTAGATCACTGCAACATGCCTGCCTTTCATCAAAATTCATTACTGAGTCAGGCTGGAGAAGCTTTCTCCCTAGTGATTTTCCTTCCCTTCAGAAAATGCATAACATCTTCACATGTATCATCATCATCCAAAAAAGTGTCTTTGATTTCTGCATCACTAATGTGATGGACTGCTAGTCATACCTTTGTCAGTGTGTATCTACTTCTCTCTCATGTGCTTTTCAGGTATGAAGGAACAGTTCCCTTCACCACATTAAAAATACATGCTAGAATGCTTTATGGGAGGGACCTTAATTCAGTTCAGTGAATATTTCTTAAATACCTACCGTAGCACTATGCTACCCCAAAGCTTATTTTTTTGTCCTCAAAAGATGGTGGAGATAGGCAGCTTGAAGACAGGACATCAAGGCCACAGTTCATACAGCCCCTCCTTTTAATGTTTGACTTTTAACACAATTCCAGTAACTGGCAACATTTAAAATTGCGTCTTTAATGTTAGATTGAAAGCCCTGTATGGAGCCTGTGTGATGGATTAACTTTTGCACAAAGCCTTTTCTTTTTAGTAGCTTCTTTTATTCAGAACAACATCCTGGTCCATAGGCTGATTTAGTAAGATAACATTGATCAGGGAAGCAGGAAGATGGCGAATATATTCCCAGTTGTTCACTGAGCTCCCTTGGGGCAGGCTTTATAATTGTCTAGCAATGGAATAGTTTCATTATCCTCTGGTAAGCCTTTGGCTCTAAAATGACCTTTCTCTAAAGGTACCAAAAGATGATAGAATCAGTTACTGTAGAGTTACCTTATGCCCTCCAAGGTGCAGGTACAATACTGAGGTGCTGTGTCCCAATATACTCCCAGAGACATGAAAAATTTTTAGATGTAAGAAGCAGTCCTTGCTCATCTTTGATGGTTCTTCTATGCAGTCAGAGCGTCTATTGCTTGCTACCAATATTCACGGCCGCTATTGATCAATATCTTCTCTTTTTTTCCTTTTGCTATGAAAAGGCTGGCTTTTTTTTTTTTAATAGATATTGCCCCTCAGTTGGTGTAGTCTGTCTTTCTTCATGGAAACCAGTCCCAACAGGTATCTCCCTGGGTTGTCTTGGTTATTTGTATGTTTCCGTGTGCCTAGGGGCATCTCTTTTGTTTCAAAAAGGAAAGCTATTACAGAAAACTGTCTGGGTAGCTGAGGTTTTGCTAGACCATTATTATGACACACAATTGCCTTGTATTGTAGTTATTTGCATGCTTCACTTATCTCCCCTCTAAAATTATAAGCTCTTGCCTGGCAGGGGCTAGGTCTTCATTCATATACCCAGTACTCAATATGTATTTGTTGAACTAATGATCAATAATGGTGACAGCTGTTCTGGAAGGCATTAGCTCTTATATATCTTGCTTTTTAGGAAAGAAGGTTGTTTTGGTTTTTTCTTTGCCAGAATCACTATGTACTTTTTGTTGAAAACCAGGCACAAAACCATAGGGAACAATTGTTTCCTGAAGCACAGCAGGGAGGGAGCCTGCTTATCTCTGAGATTTCTTTCACGGTTGTTTTTTTCACATGTCACCCCTGCAGAACTCTCCTGCAGCAGCTACAGAGGCTCCAGTCTATGGTTGTGGGCAAGGTTTCCCGTTCCTGCAAAGCAGCCAGCACTCAGACAGGCACTTGTCTCATGGTGAGTCCCAAGTGGTAGAGGCTTTAAAAAAAATAAAGTCATAGAATCTCTCCTCATCTAATTTTCACCATCTTTATTTCCTCCAAGTGCATTGTCTCAATGCTAAGGGCATAGAGAAATAGAGAAGTGGGAAAGCCATACTCGAGGTTGTCACTGTTTCTGTGTGTTTAATTGCTTGATCTTTGACCTTGAGTCTTGTTAGTATGAAGCTCTAGCTATAAGGAGAGGAGCTTCTGTTATTTCCTCCTCCATGCAGAAAATTTGCTCTGTGCAGTTTCTGCCTATAATTATAAACTCCCTCTGTTTTCTTTCTCATCCAGGTTGTGGTGCTATGTTTTGCTGTTGTGTTTGGCAGCTTCTCTCAGAGCTACGGGCCCTATCCCTCTGCTACCAAGATGGTGCTTCCAAGCCAACATTCTACTCCAGAGTCATACACAGCCTCTGTTGGTAAGGGAATGTATTCTACCACTGCCTATCAATTATCTTTCCTCCTCTTCTCTCTTTTTCTTTACTTTTTTCCTTCTTTCCTTTTCTATTTTTCCATTTTTCCTTTTCTTCTGAGAGGGTATCCTTTGACAAATCCTTAACTCTCTTTCCTGAGCTTTGATATGGATTTTCTGGCCCTCTGGGGAACTTTGCCCTTCTTGACATTTGGAGGGGGAATCTCCACCTGGAAGGGTCCTGAAGCTAATAGGTCTTTTTTTTTTCCCCTGAGGAAGAGATTCTTAAAATTTGAGTCCCAGGACACCTGGGGTGCTCTTATGACTCATGATAGGATTCTGAGACTATAAAGATGCTAGGTACTAGGTATCAGGTAGAGAAGTTATTTGTGGTAGGAATGGAGAAAGAACAGTGACACAGGAATATAGGTAAAATGAAGAAGCATCATTAGATAGGGGATATCCTATATGAGGACCAAAGATGCAAGGTGGTAGAACTAACAGGACTATTGAAGAATGAGGTCTTCTACTGAGTGGGAAAATTATTAATATCTATTTTGGGTATCTAATCAAGGACCAAGTAAAATACCTAACCCAATCCTTCAGAAAGAGTGTTCATTTCTGCCCTTCCAATTTCTATTTTCATATGACAGACCTTAAGACACTTTACATTGAAAGGAAGAGAGTCCCAACGGAAGGAATAGATTTTTCCAAACTTTCCTTGTTCCTCCCTAGCTTTGGGGCTCCATTTACCTCTTCCAATACCCCCCAGGTGTTCCTCCAATTAGAAACTGAATATATGCAACATTTCAAATTTAGTGAAGTGAAAAAGCAAAAACAAAAACAAAAGCAAACAAATTTATTTTGTACAATGTAAAACCTGGGACTTTAGAAATTTCCTGGTCTGACTATATAGTGAACACTAGAATGACCAGAATTTAAGAATACATCAGAGGACCAAGATTTATCACTTGATGCAATGCATTTAAAAAAAAATACATAAGGCAAAGAAAACAGAAATAGGAAGATATTTTTTTTATTTCAAAATAAAATTATAATATTTTTACATCAAGGAATGCCCAGTATTAAGTGGTGAAACCTGCTGGTAAAATGTGATATTCCAACCGAGCTATATTGGCCATCTTAATAGCCATTAAAAAAATAGAAAGAGAAAACCAAAATGTTCATAATTGCAGGTGTAGGGTTAGAAAATCTGGGATAAGAAAAATGTGTTTATCGTCATGGAGGGGATTTTGACTTCAGAGAAAGTGCTGCTAAGTTCTAAAAGTGATCAAAAGCATTCCAAGCAAGGGTG